CACTTCTTCCCGATGTCCTCCCAAGTCCAACTCCCGAGCTGGGAGTGGGGCCCCCAAGCTGTGACTCGTTGAAACAAGGGCACGACTAGGAACTCCCGCCTCCAGCCGTCCCCATCTATGACTCTCCAGTGAGCGCGAGGTTCGCTCCCAACTGGACCGTACTTGACGATCCTTTTGTGACCAACCTCCTCACCAGAGGCTATCACCTTCCAGTCATCAGACGTCCGCTGCTGACAGTGCATCCAGTACACCGCAGCTACCAGGCGGACCAGGTCCAGGTTCTTCCTTCCACCGTAGGTACGCTCATAGAGAAATGTGAAGTCCAGTCTCTCAGTCCGGCGCCCAGCACTCCGGGGTTCTATTCCCCCATCTTTCTGGTTCCCAAGAAAAACTCCACAAAACTAAGACTCATTTTCAACGATGGGTTTGGCGAACCTTCTTCAGTTGGCGTTTCGGTTCTTCCATCTGATCGACTCCCTTGCCATCGATGCTCGAGCCAGACACATTCCCAGAGTCAGGAATGTCATCGCAGATGCGCTGTCCCACTCTGATCGGCCGTCTCCCACGGAGTGGCACTTGAACCCACAGATCTTTCGGGAACTGGTCTTCCTGTTATTAAGGCCCCAAGTCGACCTATTTGCCATGCGGTTCAACCATCAGCTCCCGCAGTTTGTCTTGCTGATACCAAACCAACTAGCGTGGGATCTCTCGACGCTCTGGTGATTTAGTGGGAGCGACTCAACGCTTACGCCTTTCCACCTCGGGCTCTCCTACCCAGAGTCATCCAGAAACCCCAGATTCTACTGAATTTGGTCGCCCCTTACTGGCCAGTCAGGAGTTGGTTTGTCGATCTCGCACAGCTTGCAGACCTAAACCCAGTTCCTCTTCCTGATCGGGACGACCTACTGTTACACCCTCACTCGGATCGTTGTCATGTATCCCTTCACACTCTGTCTCTGCACGTTTGGCACATCTGCAGAAGTCCTTAATCGCCAAGGGGTATTCGCAGAGAGGGGCTATGGCCATCACTTCTGCTCATCGGACTTCCACCCGCTCACTTTATGATGAGAAGTGGAAATGTTTTGAGATATATTGCACGTCCAGAGGCATTATATCTCCTGTTTCTACTTCGCCTCACATCGTCGCTAAGTTTCTGCAGCATTTGCAGTCGTCTGAGAAGCTCAAGGGTTCCCCTTTGGCCACTTACCTTGCTGCGATCAACTCGGTCCTGGCTACCACCACAGGCTCTAAGGTCTCCGTGGTTCCTGAGCTTCAGTGTTTGGTCCGGTCCTTCAAGTTGGCTGATCAGTCTAAGAAATTTAGACCTCCTGCTTGGGATTTATCTGTGGTGCTGCGTCATTTGGCCTCGGCGGACTATGAACCCCTAGCTCAGAAGGACTTTGAGAAGATTTCCTTCAAGACCTTCTTCCTTGTGGCCTTGGCTACAGCAGCTGGGATTTCTGAACTTCACGCTTTGGACGTTAACAGAGTCCAGTTTGAACAGAAGAAGCATGGCAAAGTCTTCCTCGGTCTCCGTTGGGATTTTGTAGCAAAGTTGCAAAGGACAACCCGATATTGTACTTTTACCATCCCACCGTTGTCCATGATCCTTGGGCCGCATGACAATGAAGACCTGCAGCTTTGCCCTGTTAGGGCTTTGAAGATTTTTCTTGCTGCTTCTAAAGATCGCCACCGTCTCCGCAAGCGCCTCTTCACTCCATTGTCCTCAACATCCAGGGCTGAAGTGTCTCGCACCACTTTATCCTTCTGGAAGAGAGCCACCATCCTACGGGCTTACACCTTCCCTGGGTTACCGCCCCCGACAGCTTCCAATCCACATGAGACACGGGCGTTAACGTCTACAACGGCTCTGCATAGTAACTGCTCTCTCCACGCCATTATTGAAGGGTGTTTCCGGCGATCTGACTCGGTCTTCTCCTCGCACTACCTTCGAGACCTCTCAGTCAAAGATGTCCAAGGCCTGCACCAGTTTGGACCCCTTTTGCTCGCACAACAGCTGTCTACAGCCCACCAACGCAGATAGGGAACGGTCCCTCGTGGTTGCGGCTTCCCTGTATTTTCTTGGATATAAGTCTGAACTTGCTGTCTGCTTTATGTTTTGATTGCTTATGGGTTAGGACTACTTCACTTAGTTTTATGCTAAGACACAGAGATACTACCACCTCGGTGGTTGGACGAATCTTGAGCTCGATTCTGTATCACGATGTGGAAGGGTTTGACATTTCACGTTTCCTGACCTCTACTTTTCAAAGCAATTACGTCAGTGAAGTGTGTCACTCACGAATTCCAGTGGATTTCGTTGTGTTCCGACTCCAAAGTTGCTGGGCACATCCTTTGACTAAGCTTATGCAAAGGAGTGAGGGTCAATTTAATGCTGTAAAACTCGGAGTTCCCAAGTTTTGCTTCTCTTTCAGCCGCCCCTGGCCGGTGTCTGTGGGGATCTTCTCGAAGCAGGGGCTGGCCCGATTATTGTCAGCTGACTTTAATTTACGGGGGTACCTTGAAAACCGTGGCGAAGTGACATCCTTTCTCATTGAGCTGCGTCCGTCCTTGGAGATTGCGGCAAAACACCAAATCGCTCGGGAGCACCCATCTTCCTGGGAGACGTTGTGCTTAGTAAGCCAAAGAGTTCAAGAGAACTCAGCACAAGCATAGGAGTTGCGTGCATGCTGTCAGGCCTCCCTTGTGCATCGCTATTTACGGTCGTTTCCAGTCTATACAGTTCCTGCTGTTAGCACTGTCAAGACACAGGGTATCTGTGTCCCGCCGTCTGACCGTGGGATAAGTGCATACTGTTACATAGGATAAGTTTTAAAATTTGAAAATTTGAATATAAATTTTATATTTATATACTTATCCTATCTCACGCGACAGATTCCCACCCATCCTCCCCGCTATGCAGATTCTCCAAGATGGATATTATCCAGTGGCTCCAAGAATGAGAATGATGATTCGGAGATAGTCACGTGGGCAGCTAGTGGTGCATGCCGCATGCTTTGCATGAGAGCTAGGAAGCTGTCTTATAGTGAGGGTAGCATGGAGTGCTTGGGCGGATGGACAAGAGAGGCCTAGGGAAAAAGTTTACATCGTTCCACTCATTGTCGATTCAAGAGAGAAAAGTACATACCGTGAGATAGGATAAGTATATAAATATACAATTTATATTAAAATTTTCAAGTATAAGTTATGTCCTTGTGATTATGTCACCTGAAAAGGTGGGTGGGTAGTGTCTCCAAAACAAGCTCTTTCAGTAAACATGAAGGGGGGGAGTCACTTTATCAAATTGCTTTTGATGCACTTTAATATCTACGTTTGATTCTAGAGGACTTCTGTCTATCTCAAACACAGAAAATGTTTCTTTCATATTTTGTTTCCTGAAGTTTGCGATGCATATATTGCAAATTTTGCGTTTTGGGGGTACCAAGATAAAAAGTCAAACGAAATGGGGATCATAAGGCTTTAACATAGAAAAACCAATTTGCTTGAGGTTAACACATAATATGTAGAGAAATAAAATATAAAAACAGCTGCATTTGTATCATTTTCTAGGTGAGGCTTGCTACTTTTCGAACACCGCGCATAGCCTCCGATTAGCAGCCATTTCAGTATCATCAGAACACACAAATGACAATCTGATCATTGAACACACACCATTTCGACTTGATTGTAATGTGTAATATGCATATTTATTACCTACGAGGGCAAAAATATCGGGGTTAATATTTTTCAAACAATGCCCAAGGGCAAAATATCACTTTGCCATGGTAACGTGACATCATGAACAATGCCCTGACGTCATGGTTCTTCTATGACGTTGCATTCTACATGCGGCGACGGTTGGTAGCCAGCCTATGTTTGAATGTTGATTTGGGTTTATTTTCCTCAATTTGACGACTTCAGTAATGAATAGAATATCATATGAGTGCCAATATCAAACTATGTTGACGACACTCGTGCCTAAATATCGGTACCAACATACCAACATTTATTACCCACGTGGTCAACGTATGGGTAGTTGCATACTAATCTCGTACGTCACACGAGTGTCGTATCGCGTTGACCTGTGTCGTAACGACTTGACCTGAGATTATAACGATTTGATCGGGTGACTGATGACCTCTCAATTAGGTCACATTCTGACGTAACTATTTTTTCATTCTTAACAAACACGTGAATTCATTCATTCTACAACTTAAATGCATTGTGGGAATGTAAACATTGCGAACGTTGCCCTGTCGCTGTTTAATTGTGAGTTGAACTGAGACATTATATCCGTCGAAAAACATAAACGCAATGTTTCCACCAGTGATGTTAGCCGAACGAAGCAACTGTAAACCAAGAAACGGGGTGCTACGGAGTAGTTTATCGTGGGAGGCTGTACGAGGCGATGACAACTGACATGCATCGTGACGTCGGTTACCAAGGCAGTGACGTCATTACACTGTGACGTCACGCAAATATTGTACTACAGTACAAAACTCTTTCGCAACCTCTTTATGAAACCGGTTTCGGTTTGAAACCAAACAATAACAAAAATACGCTATTTTGTCAATTTAATGCATGTAAGAAGTGGGTAATAAATAAAATACCACACTCGGTCTCATTACATACGAATTATACGAAACTCGTGACCTCCTTATGTTATCTGACCTCGCTTTAGCTCGGTCAGATACCATCGTATAATTCGTATGTAATGAGACCTCGTGTAGTATTCTCTATTCAGGCACTCGTGTCGTAAACATAATATGACATGGGCACTCATATAATATCCTCTATTTCGTTTGGAATTCAATGTAATATCTTGCCTCCCCCCCCTCCAGGCCCCCAAGGACAGTAGGGTAGCCTAATGATTCCAACTGAAGGCCTAGGTTTGATACCTACACGGGTACAATGTGTGAAGCCTTATTTATGGTGTCCTACGACGTAATAATGCTGGAATATTGCTAAAAGCAGTGTAAAACCTGACTCACTCACTCCAGATCCCCAACAATGGCGGGAGGCCTGTTTGCCATCGACAGATCATACTTCCATCATATGGGAGAGTATGACTCGGGGATGGATGTGTGGGGTGGAGAGAATCTGGAGATTTCCTTCAGGGTGAGTAACCATGGTAACAAAGTATATATAAACTAGATATAAAATAATTCACCATGTCTTCTTCCTCCCTCTCCCATCCCCTCAACTTCTCCTTCTCCCACCCTACTCTTCCTCCTCTCCCATCCCCTCAACTTCTCCTTCTCCCACCCTACTCTTCCTCTCTTTCCTATCTCCTGAAGTTCTCCCTCCTTGTCTTCTTCCTCCCTCTCCCATCCCCTCAACTTCTCCTCCTTCTCCACCTGACTCTTCTTCCTCTCTCATCCCCTCAACTTCTCCTTGTTCTCCACACTACTCTTCTTCCTCCCTCTCCCATCCCCTCAACTTCTCCTCCTTCTCCACCCTACTCTTCCTCTCTCGTCCCCTCAACTTCTCCTTCTTCTCCACACTACTCTTCTTCCTCCCTCTCCCATCCCCTCAACTTCTCCCTTCCTCTCCCATCCCCTCAACTTCTCCCTCTTTCTCCACCCTACCCCTCTCCTCATCTTCTTCTCCCTCCTTCTCCACCCTACTCTTCCTCTCCCTCCCATCCCCTCAACTTCTCCTCTTCCTCCTCCGACCCACTTCCTCCCCCTCTCTTATTCCCTCCATGATATTCCTAGAATATTGCTAAAAGTGGTGTAAAACTAAACTCACTCACTCCCTTCTTATGCTTCCTCTCTTTCCCATCACCTCTACTTCTCCTTTTTAACCTTCCCATTCTTCTGCCTGCTGGCCTCTCCTTTTCCCTCCTCCTCCTCACTTCTACTACACCCCCTCCTGCTCTAAACCATTTGATAATGTTGTCAGATCTGGATGTGTGCCGGCCAGCTGGAGATCATCCCATGTTCGCGTGTAGGGCACATCTTCCGCAAGCGTCGGCCGTACACTGGACCAGGAGGAGACAGTTTCACCAAGAACTCCCTCAGAGTGGCCCTTGTGTGGATGGATGACTACATTGTAAGTGACATCATCGACTCTTGTTTAAGCTGACAACATTGACAACAACTTGAATAGTTTCACCAAGAACTCCCTCAGCGATTTATTTTTTTTACAGTTCCCATGAACATCTGGGTTAGAATTCGTCTTCAGCAGCCCATGCTAGTTGTAAGAGGTGACTCACCGACTTGGTTGATGCATGTCAAATAGCTGGAATATAGCTGGCTTCAGCATTAAACAACAAACAAACAAAGTCTTTCTACAGACCCTGAAAAAAATCCAAACTCTCTAGTTCGATAACCATGATTTTATGAATACATTCTGTCTCCTTCTTTCTATAACATATGATAATTCAAGTTAATACTAGTACATAGAGGAGGCTTGAAATAATTTCATTCCAGTGACTAAATATGCGAAAAATGCATGTATTAGCGTAGAAGGTAATACATTTCTACAATTTGCCATGGTTACATGCAGTGATATGATATTAATATTAGGGGTGACTATTGAGAAGGAAACAACTTATTGCGATAGCGATAGTCTGTTGTGACCAACTATTGCAATACTGCAATAGCTTTTTCTCCTTTAATTGTCTCATTTGAAGTCATTTCCCAAATGAAAGTGTACTTTATATGAAATAAGAACAAGCTGAAGTAGTTTCAGTCTCTTTTAATAACTGGCAAGAAACTTGGAAACCAGTTCAAGTTTGTTTAAGAGGTAACAGGGGCCATAACTCAAAGTGAACGAATCTGGTGCTTCCTTTATTTTCCACTGCGCATTTATCAACAGTAGTCAATTGCTAAACTATTGATAGTCACACATACTATCGATGCATTTATAGTTTTTCGTTTCTACCATCGATTAATTGCTATCCTAGACTCAACAATTGCAATCCATCAATAGTTTGATGCATCGTTACAGCCCTGTATAATATATGAAATATTGTCTCAGCAATGTAATATCACTCAGTGGAGTGATTGGGGGTAGCCTAGTGGTTAAAGTGTTTGCTCGTCACACCAAAGACCTGGGTTCGATTCCCTACATAAGTACGATGTGTGAAGCCCATTTCTGTTGTCTGTCACTGTGATATTAGCTGGAATATTGCTAAAAGCGGTGTAAAGGTAATCTCACGCCCTCACTTCTTGGCATAGCTCACAATAGCGATGTTATTTCATTGGTGAAGGTGTCACATCAACAGGAAAGTCACTCTAGGTCATTTCTTTCAGAAATATTACTACAAGGTCAGTCCGGGTGCCAAAGGAGTTGATGCCGGTGATGTCTATGATCGCAAGACTCTGAGGAGGCAGCTGAATTGTAAATCCTTCAAGTGGTATCTGGACACAGTCTACCCAGAGCTGGTAGGTTTGTCCAGGGAAAGGACAATGTGTGTGTCATTTCAACCCATCGAAATAGGGTAGAGCAATGTTGTTTAATTACTGAACATAATACTATATGTAACATTTATCCTGTTTGGGATTACACTTCATCAGCAAAGTACAGATTCTACTACTATGTTGGGTTGATTCCCATCTGGGATTCAAACCCACACCCTAAGAGTCAGGCACCTAATCGCCAGCGCACAAAGTCAGCCACCTAAACAATTCAGCCTCCACAGTTTCCACTTTACTGAAAAAGTGCAATCCCAAATATAACATGTTACATCTGACCAGGGGAGGTGGGGTAGCCTTGTGGTTAAAGCGTTGGCTCATCACGCCAAAGATCTGGGTTTGATCCCCACATGGGTACAATGTGTGGCCATTTCTGGTGTCTCCCGTGGTGATGTTGCTGGAATTTTGCTAAAAGAGGCTTAAAAACATACTCACTCACTTACTGCATCTGACCACTTTCTAAATGGCATTGTGTATTCATGGCTAATAGTATATCCCAGCTCAGTGTCTGCATGAAGTAATAACAATGCCTTTTTATAACTTTTCACTGTAAATCCTATTCATACTGTGGTAACCACTGGATTCACTGACTGACTCTATCTGTATTTACTTTCTAGCCTTGTCAGTCAGTAGAACACCATGTTTGTCTATTCCAAACACCTGGTTTGGTGTCTGGAAGAAATGGCTATTGTGAACACCCACATCAGGCTATTCTGAACACCCACATCATGCTATTCTGAACACCCACTGCATGCTATTCTGAACACCCACATCATGCTATTCTGAACACCCACAGCATGCTATTCTGAACACCCACATCATGCTATTCTGAACACCCACTGCATGCTATTCTGAACACCCACATCATGCTATTCTGAACACCCACAGCATGCTATTCTGAACACCCACAGCATGCTATTCTGAACACCCACAGCATGCTATTCACAGCACATGCTATTCTGAACACCCACATCAGGCTATTCTGAACACCCACAGCATGCTATTCTGAACACCCACAGCATGCTATTCTGAACACCCACAGCATGCTATTCTGAACACCCACAGCATGCGCACCCACAGCATGCTATTCTGAACACCCACATCATGCTATTCTGAACACCCACAGCATGCTATTCTGAACACCCACAGCATGCTATTCTGAACACCCACATCATGCTATTCTGAACACCCACAGCATGCTATTGCAACACCCACATGCTGCTATTCACTATTCTGAACACCCACAGCATGCTATTCTGAACACCCACAGCTTGCTATTCTGAACACCCACAGCATGCTATTCTGAACACCCACATCAGGCTATTCTGAACACCCACAGCATGCTATTCTGAACACCCACAGCATGCTATTCTGAACACCCACAGCATGCTATTCTGAACACCCACAGCATGCTATTCTGAACACCCACAGCATGCTATTCTGAACACCCGCAGCTTGCTATTCTGAACACCAGTGTCTGGCTAAACATAACTGGGTTTGGTGTCTGGAAGAAATGGCCCTCGGCAGTCTTGGCAAAATGACTTGAAACAATCTGACTCTACCCCAATAGGACCGCAGCCAGTTGGTTGGTTTGTTGTTTAACTCAGCAATATTCCAGCTATATGGCGGCGGTCTGTAAATAATTGAGTCTGGACCAGACAATCCTATGATGAACAGCATGAGCATCGATCCACATAATTGGGATTCGATGACATGGTTGACAAGTCAGCGAGCTTGGCCCCTGATCCCGTTAGTCACCTCTTACGACAAGCATGGGTTACTGAAGACCAATTCTAATCCAGATGTCCACGGGTTCAGTTGTAAATGGGAGACATAGAATGTGTCTGCTGAGTCAGTGTGTTGAAGGAAACATCTGGATGGTGGGAACAGGGGCATAGTGTACGACCTGTATCATACAGCCTGTATTTTATTGTAATGTGAATATTTGTGCTTTCAGTCGTTGCCGAGTAACTACAGTAGAAAGCAGATATTATTCAATAAGAAATCGCTCGGGAACTTCCAGCAGCCGAAGACCAAGAGATCTGGGATGGTATGTTTGATAGGAAGCATCAGTGTAACGGACAATGGATCTGACCTCTGACCCATCGCATCAAACATTTCCAGAATAGGTTTATTATTAGACAATGATGATTTCAAAAAGTGTGTTAAAAGTGTTAAACCTTTACTCGTACGATTGAAATGTTATTATGTGGAAAGACAAATGTTTCAAGGTGTGGTAATGGTCGACAGTGCATAAGAAGAGCGCACCTGGCATATGCAAATAAGCTGCAGCATATGCAAATAAGCTGCAGCATATGCAAATAAGCTGCAGCATATGCAAATAAGCTGCAACAAAAGTGGGGATTCACGAACAAGTTCACACGATCAGTAGCAAATTGGGACAGTGGGGTAGCCATGTTGTTCAAGGGTTCACTGGTCATGCCTCAAGACCCAGGTTCGATTCCTACATGGGTACAAAGTGTGAAGCCCATTTCTGGTGTCCCTCAGGCATATGTTGCAGAAATATTGATTAAGGTGGCATCAAACCATACTCACTCACTCACTGGGTAGTAAACGTGTTCAGCTTGTGCATTGATGATGTAGATGAATGGCTGTCATTGAACTGTAAGGTCACAGCTGTTTGCCAGGTATGGTATGGGTTGTAATGGTTGCAGGCTGTTTCAAATCCATTGGTGTTCACATGGGGTTGTCAAACCTGTAAACTCTCACGTTTTTGCTGTGAGTCTCACATTCGTTAAATGAAAACCACTTTCTTACAGCCAGAATATTAAATCTCACATTTTTTTTTGCATGTGCTAATTTGCCGGCAGAGGCTTCCAAAATACTTTAAAAATGCCCTCCTCCCAAATTTTCGGCTGGTGGTTTCAAGTTTAAGCGGGCGGTGGGGTGGAGTAGCCTAATGGTTAAAGTGTTAGCTCATCACGCCGAAGACCCTGGTTCGAATCCCCACATGGGCACAATGTGTGAAGCCCATTTCTGGTGTCCCCCGCCGTGATATTGCTGGAATATTGCTAAAAGCGGCGTAAAACCAAACTCAGTCAGTCAGTCAGTCAGTCAAGCCCCTAGCCTCTTCACTAGAACTTTGCCCTGGAACTGCGGCACCTGCAACCCGGCCCTTAAATGGTTCTCAATTTCTGGACACATTTTGGGTTGACACCTATTGGTTGTTATTAGTGGGCAGCCGCTATAGGCAGCTGACTATGTCAAATTCACATGGAACGAGTTTAGTTTGCACTTTGAACTGGAGTATGATCAAGTATAGAAAGAAGACAACTCATTTTACTTTTGTCTGTAGATAGTTAGGAGCTGATGTACAGCTGGATGATTGGTAGTGAGGTATGAACGCTGTGATGTGCAACATTTTTGTGTATGAAATAGAAAAGGGAAATATTGTTGGTTCTGTGAAAGAGGCAGTCTATGTAAACTTAGGCTCAGTGTTATTTCTTACACTGCTAATAGCGCTATACTGAGTCTAACAAAACCTTGTGGAAGGTCGCCTCAGGTAACCTTTGGGCGACCTATGACCGTCCAATCAAACGCGAGACGGACAAACGGATTTAACCAATAAGACAACGGCTACTATTTAGGGTTTGGCGGGACTTACAAAATGGATTTTCTCCTCCCTGGTCGCCAACACGGATCTCATAACAAATGAAAACCCGCATAGAACACATATATATGACCTGCAGAATATACGCTTTTGGGTTTCTGTTGACATGGCCATCATTAGCTAATATTTCCGAAAGCTGACATCTTTGAATACTGACAAAATGCTATTTTCAGTGACTGTTTACTCGCTCTTGTGGTTTGCTCCATGTGCATCACTCGGAAGAGATCGTACAGAAAATAGCATTCAGAATCGTTTGGGTACAAAACGTTTTCGAGGTAAAAGTTCAAAAGGTATTTGTGAATGTCAACTTGCACGATTTGGTAAGCTGTGTTCTGATTGGTCCATTGAAAAGGTCAGCTGACGAACCTTCCACAAGGTTTTGTTAGACTCAGTATAGCAGTGTAACAAGTAATACTGAGCCTATGTTTATTTAGTCTGGTGAAAGAGGGTGACACATTTTATGTTTATTCCCCAGTTGAAGCACATGGCCTCAGGTCTCTGTGTGGAGTCGGAGGAAGAGGTGTACAACAAGAAGGCTCTCCTGCATCTGGCTGTATGCAGGTCAACTTCAGAGAGTAAAGATCAGGTAAGCAGCTTCACTTGGATGATGACATTGGTGGTGATGATGATGATGATGGTAGTGATGATGGGATGATGACACTTTTAACACAGAAAATTCAATGTAATGTATATAATCAGTGTGGGAAACACCCCCTTACACCATGTACACCAAGACACAATGAGGGAGTTGGTGTCAACCTTCATCTTTAATGCAAGATGGCTACTTCATACATACATGCCGTCATCATCTTTGTGCAGATGACGTTATCCAAAATGGGGTAATCCCGATATGATGTACATAGTGTTGGTGTTACAACTACTTATAGTAAACACACTACAATTATGATTGTGGTAGTGATGATGATGATGGTGGTGGTAGCATGGTGGTGATGATGTTGATGTGGTGATGATGATGATGTGGTGATGATGATGTTGATGGTGGTAACATGGTGGTGATGATGTTGATGTTGTAACATGGTGGTGATGATGATGTTGATGTGGTAACATGGTGGTAACATGGTGGTGATGATGATGATGTTGATGTGGTAACATGGTGGTGATGATGTTGATGTGGTAACATGGTGGTGATGATGTTGTTGATGTGTGGTAACATGGTGGTGATGATGTTGATGTTGGTAACATGGTGGTGATGATGGTGATGTGGGAACATGGTGGTGATGATGATGTTGATGGTGGTAACATGGTGGTGATGATGTTGATGTTGATAACATGGTGGTGATGATGATGTGGTAACATGGTGGTGATGATGATGTTGATGTGGTAACATGGTGGTGATGATGTTGATGGTGGTAACATGGTGGTGATGATGATGTTGATGTGGTAACATGGTGGTGGTGATGTTGATGTTGATAACATGGTGGTGATGATGATGTTGATGTGGTAACATGGTGGTGATGATGTTGATGTGGTAACATGGTGGTGATGATGATGTTGATGTGGTAACATGGTGGTGATGATGTTGATGTGGTAACATGGTGGTGATGTTGATGGTGGTAACATGGTGGTGATGATGTTGATGTGGTAACATGGTGGTAATGATGTTGATGTGGTAACATGGTGGTGATGATGTTGATGTGGTAACATGGTGGTGATGTTGATGGTGGTAACATGGTGGTGATGATGTTGATGTGGTAACATGGTGGTAATGATGTTGATGTGGTAACATGGTGGTGATGATGATGTTGATGGTGGTAACATGATGTTGGTGATGATGATGTATATGGTGGTAACATGGTGGTGATGATGGTGATGTGGTGTTGGTGGTGATGACAGCTAAATAGTTTTATTACCCACGTGGTCAACGTATGGGTAGTTGCATACTAATCTCGTACGTCACACGAGTGTCGTATCGCGTTGACCTGTGTCGTAACGACTTGACCTGAGATTATAACGATTTGATTGGATAACCGATGACCTCTCAATTAGGTCACATTCTGACGTAACTATTTTTTCCTTCTTAACAAACACGTGAATTCATTCATTCTACAACTTAAATGCATTGTGGGAATGTAAACATTGCGAACGCTGTCGCGGTCGCTGTTTAATTGTGAGTCGAACTGAGACATTATATCCGGCTTGAAAAACATAAACGCAATGTTTCCACCAGTGATGTTAGTCGAAGCAACTGCAAACCAAGAAACGGGTGCTACGGAGAAGTTTACTGTAGAAGGCTGTACGAGGCGATGACAACTGACATGCATCGTGACGTCGGTTACCAAGGCAGTGACGCCATTACAGTGTGACGCCATGCAAATATTGTACTACAGTACAAAACTCTTCCGCAACCTCTTTATGAAACCGGTTTCGCTTTGAAACCAAAAATAACAAAAATACGCTTATTTTGTCAATTTAATGCATGTAAGAAGTGGGTAATAAATAATATTACCACTTCTGGTTCATCATTATACGAATTATAATGAAACTTCGTGATTCTTCCTATGTTATCTGACCTCGCCGGGTCAGATACCATAGGAAGGACACTCGCTTCAGATAATTCAGTATGTAATGAGACCTCGTAGTATTCTCTATATATTGAGGGATGACGTTGTATGGATCTCGATTGAACTAAATACAGGGAAAGAAACCTTTCAAAATTTCCAGCTACAACACAGGACCAGTGAGTGGACAATATTTAGTGGTCCTGCCTGTACTCCACTGGTCCAAAATAACATTCGTAGATTTACTACAGTGATGTGATCCCATTCTGTGATGTGATCCCTCTCTGTGATGTGATCCCACTCTGTGATGTGATCCCTCTCTGTGATGTGATCCCTCCCAGTGATGTGATCCCTCTCTGTGATGTGATCCCTCTCAGTGATGTGATCCCTCTCTGTGATGTGATCCCGCTCAGTGATGTGATCCCACTGTGTGATGTGATTACTCTCTGTGATGGGATCCCTCTTAGTGACGTGATCTCTCTCTGTTATGTGATCCCTCTCTGTGATGTGATCCCACTCAGTTGTGTGATCCCTCTCTGAGATGTGACCCCACTCTGTGATGTGATCCCTCTCTGTGATGTGATCCCTCTCAGTGATGTGATCCCTCCCAGTGATGTGATCCCTCTCTGTGATGTGATCCCTCTCTGTGATGTGATCCCTCTCTGTGATGTGATCCCGCTCTGATGTGATCTCTCTCTGTGATGTGATCCCTCTCTGTGATGTGATCCCACTGTGTGATGTGATTACTCTCTGTGATGTGATCCCTCTCAGTGACGTGATCTCTCTCTGTGATGTCATCCCTCTGTGATGTCATCCCTCCCAGTGATGTGATCCTTCTCAGTGATGTGATCCCTCTCTGTGATTTGATCCCTCTCTGTGAGGTGATGTGATCCCTCTCTGTGAGGTGATGTGATGCCTCTCTGTGAGGTGATGTGATCCCTCTGTCATGTGATCCCTCTCTGTGATGTGATCCCTCTCAGTGATGTGATCCTTCTCAGTGATGTGATCCTTCTCAGTGATGTGATCCCTCTGTGAGGTGATGTGATCCCTCTCTGTGAGGTGATGTGATGCCTCTCTGTGAGGTGATGTGATCCCTCTGTCATGTGATCCCTCTGAGTGATGTGATCCCACTCTGTGATGTGATGCCTCTCTTTGATGTGATCCCTCTCTGTGATGTGATTCTTCTCAGTGATGTAATTTGAGGGCAGAATTAATGAACTCCTACTGCCCTATTTTAATGAAGGTCTGGATTTGGACATTTTGAATTTTAGAACAGAAAATCCATACAGGACACACAAGTTCCTTCTACTCAATGGAAAGTCTCTTCTGGATGTAGATGCCTTGATGTCACTAATGACAGAGTGTAAAATATCTGTAACAATATAATGGCCTGTATCATTTTTAGGCAAAACCAGATGATTGATTTTTGTTTTGAGATAAAGAAAATTGACATGCTGATAAGCAACTTTTGCTTATTCATACCAAGAATTCAGAAGCCTTAATCCTTATTGGTTGATCAGAAAATTCATCTGACAAAACCTGCCCAAACATGTCCTTACTTATTCATGCTGTATCTTTAGGTTTGGTAGTATACAGCCATAACACCCAGGCAGTGGGAAGTGTTTGTTTGCTGCTAGGACTAACTCAACCACTCACTCACTCAACCACTCAAACAATCACTCACTCACACATTCACTCAACTGCCTGCCTGCCTGCTTGCACTCACTCAGCCACTTACTCTTTCAACCACCTACCACCCACTTACTCGCTCATACCCATTCACCACCCACTAACCAAGACACCCAATACCCAACCACCCACTCAACCACACAACCACTCACTCACTCACTCACGCCTGTATCTCTCCGTTTCAGTCCGGGAAGACCCAGCTGTACAACCCCGGTAGTGGGAAGTGTTTGTCTGCCACAGGGATTGAGCCAAACTCCTTCCTGAAGCTCGTCATCTGCTCTGATCATCCCCTGCTCAACTTTGATCTCGTCATAGAGTAGACTCAAGGAGTCAAAGCTCAACATCCGTCTAGTCATGGACTTGGACCTCACGTCAGTGAACCATCCAGACATTTCTCAGAGGACAGTTCACAGCCCCAAGTTGGTTGTGAATGTCAATAGAAGTTTGGAATAGACATTTTGACATTCCAGGGCCAGGGGCCCTGTTTCACAAAGCTGTCGACTGCTGTAACTTCTATACTGCAACATAGACTTACGACAGTCATAGCGGGACCCCGTTTCACAAAGCTATCGACTGCTGTAACTCCTATACTGTAACATAGACTTACGACAGTCATAGCGTTACGATAGTTTTGTGAAACGAGGTCCAGGGCCCTTATTCTCGAAAAGTTCGTAGCCCTAAGAATTCTTAACTTTGATCGTAGCCAATGTGTTAAGAATGGGCTTAAGAAGTTCGTAGGGTTACTAACGTTTCGAGAATAGCTAGCCAGATCCACTAAGTGTTCGTAACATTACAACTAGACTAGCGCTTAGTCTCTGAATATATAAATTTTGATTGAAACAAACAAACCCATTAGATTGAAAAGAAGCCCAGAGATTCAGAACCTGAGGAAATGTAGACTAAATATCGCTTTAGCATTGCAGAAAGGCTAGACAGTAGTGAAAGTAAACGGTTCAGGGACTGTGAGACAGACTGTGTTACAACCTGTCGTAGCTGTATAGTTTAGCAAAAGCTTACGAATGTGGTAGCGCCATGAACACTTAGTGGACCCAGGTTAATATAATTTCTATTTACCTCTGCAAGGATGATTGTCGTACACGAAGGGATATAGTAATGGCGGAATTAAGAAGATGATCGGAAGTGAAACAGTTTTTGTTTACACAGCAATAAGTTAGTGCAGATTGAGGCACCTTGGTTGAATCGAAAGACAAGATAACTGTACAAAGTTGTCTGATAGATCTGCACTCCAGGTTATCATGGCACTAGAATAATGGATCCTGGATACTTCAGCTTTCACACCTTAGGCATTTTCCTCCCACAGAGGTTACTCCTGTCATATCATCCTACGTAACCTCTGTTCTAATACGGCCATATTTCCCGGTTCTCGTAAAATCCCCTAGCAGCAAAAGAACGCAACATGTATTATCTCCCTTCTTTCTATCCAATCAGAACAAGTGTTACATCGACTTTGATTCAACTTGACTAACACAAGCAAATGTGAGGCCACAAATATCCCCCATCTGCCGGGGACTTGTGTTGATGTTACACACAAGACGTTTAATGGCTAGCTTGTCCGTTGTCAACGAGGGCTATGGAGACGCCACTGATCTGACATAACATGACTGAGTTCTGTCTCGAAGAAACGTTTGCGCATTGCGCAGGGGAAGAGGTTTAGTTTTCTCGAAGTATACAGAAATTACTGAGGCCTTGCGAATGATCACTTTTGAAACAACGTTGCTGATTGCACAACTAAATCTGATTGCCTCCAATCACGAGTCTTGAACGCTCACACCATGAAAGGGCCGTATTAGAACAGAGGTTACGTAGGAAGATATGACACGAGTAACCTCTGTGGGAAGAGAATGCACCTTAGGATGATACTGTCTAATCAATGCATAACTGATAATTACCAATATCAGCCTATTGGGATGTCAACAGGTGTTATCTGCAATATCAATACATCGCATTCAACCTCTCATTGCGTTACAAGAGGTCATCAGTAAGGCCAAATAAAAAAAATGTTGTGTTTCCGATTACACCTCTTTAAAATTTACGGTAGGTAGGTAGGATATATATTTATTTTTTTTACATTTTTTTTATAAGTAAAGTACAAAGTGATAACACGTTTATCAATGTATAATTGTTTATTCAATCAAGTTTTCGGGCCATCATGTAGGTCTTTCTCTATAAGAGTGACTGATGTCTCTTGGTGCCAGGAAAAACCAATATCTGAATGCTTATTTTATTCATATACCCTTAATAAAAAAGAGGTCAGCACCAGAATTCAGGGTCGGTCGGTGTCAGACCACAACAGTTTTTTAGGCCTACATGCCAAGTAAACCCAACATTGCCTTAGCAGTCAAACATTGCCTTTAGCAGTCAAACATTGCCTTTAGTAGTCAAACACACGTGACTGAAGTCCCATTGTATGAGAAATAATCAGTGGAGGGTAAAGTTCACCATTTGTCTTTCAAACTTACTCAGCTAGAGTAACTATAGTAGTGTGTCATCCGTACCTAATGGCATTGAAAAAATATTATAACAAATGTTATATTTGAGATTACACTTTCTCAGTAAAGTATAGATTCTAGTACTTTTGTTTGGTTGAGTCCCATCCGGGTTGAAATGACACACACATAGTCAGGCACCTAATCACCAACACACAAAGTCAACCGCCCTAACCCACTCTCAGCCTCCGCATCTTCCAGATAACATTTGGTACATTTGACCACTTTCTGAATGGCATTGTGTATTCGAAAACAATTCTGTTTGTCGTTGCAATTATTTCTCCATGTCATCCAGTGGCTGAATATGTTCACTGACATCTTATTCCTTTGCCTCATGTCCTTCAGTCATTATCATCACTGATATCCGTAAAAGTTTCACATAATACCACTGATAATAAGTAATATTTTTATGGCATTTACAGATTTTGGGCCTGCCACAGAACTTACTTGAATAGGGGAAGGTTGGGTAGCCTAGTGGTTAAAGCATTTGCTTGTTTTGAATAAGACCCGGGGTTTGATTCCCCAGATGGGCACAGTGTGTGAAGCCCATTTCTGTCCCCCTTGCTGTGATGTTGGAATATTACTAAAAGCGACATAAAACTAAACTCACTCACTCACTGTCATGTGTTATTAGTGGCTTGCTGTGTTTGTTGTTGTTTTGTTTTGACAGTGAAGTCAGTGCTAGTACAGATTCCTCACAGTGTTAGTAGAGGCATCCCATGAGGCTTGCTGAGTGATGGAGTTTGTGAGCATGCTGTTGGTGACCCACATTACACTCCCTTGTGTGTTATATTTATTTAACATTTTCTGCTGGACATTTATGCCGAAATTTTACTGTAGGAATGTTTTAATTTGAGATTTTACATACGTTTTGCTGAAATGATTTTTCAAATATTCTGTTCAGGGAATGGACATGTGATATTACAATGTTTATGAAACAGGTCTATGGCATGTTAGATGGACTATGATTGGTAGCAAATGACTGGATGATTGTAAGTGCTGGATGGGTTGTTGCTCAGTAGTTACCATAAGTAATGCTCGCATCCTTAGATGATATCATGATGCGCTCATCCTTAGATGATATCATGATGCGCTCATCCTTAGATGATATCACGGTGAGCTCATCCTTATATGATATCATGATACACTCATCCTTAGATATCATGGCATGCTCATAGTTAAATGATGATATCATGGTGCAATCATCCTTAGGTGATATAGTTCGCTCATCCTTATATATCAAAGCATGCACATTGTCAGATAATTTTATGGTGCCATGATATCACAGGGCATGAGCATAGTTAGTATTAAATGCTGATACATCATGTATGAGAGACCAAACATCAGCAACCAAACATTTCTATATGAGAGTCCCAACAAATACTCTTCTCTCAGTCAAGAGAAATTTCTTCCAGTGGGAACCACTTTGTGATTACTACTTCTATTTGATACTGAGTTTAGAGACCAGGGCCCTTATTCTCGAAACGTTCGTAGACCTAAGAATTCTTAACTTTGATCGTAGCCAATGTGTTAAGAATGGGCTTAAGAAGTTCGTAGGACTTAAGAATTTTCGAGAATAGCTAGCCAGTTATCTTTGATATTGCTTATTCCTAAACTTGGCTTCTGCATGTCTGGATATTCAAAGGAATATCAGATTCTTCAAAGGCTTTGTCAGATAGATTTTTGGGTTGACACATAGGTAGGTGTGTGTACAATATATATACATATTACAAGTAAGGTGGTGGGGTGGCCTACTTGTTAAAGCGTTCGCTCGTTATGCCGAAGACCCAGGTTTGATTCCCCTAAAAGGTACAATGTGTGAAGCCCACCTCTGGTGTCTCCCACCGTGATATTGCTGGAATATTGCTAACAGCGGTGTAAACCCATACTCACTCACTCGCTCATATTACAAGTGGGGAGCAAGTATGGATCCTTGTTTTCCTATGTTCTGTTTCTAGGTTTATCAGCACTGTGGTGAATGTGAGTCGTCATCAAATTGGTGAACTTCAGAGACCTGCATCACTTCCATGAGTGAGTGAGTTTAGTTTTACGCCGCTATTAGCAATATTCCAGCAATATCACGGCAGGGGACATCTGAAAGCGGCTTCACACATTGTACCCAGGTGGGGAAGCAAACCCAGGCCTTCAGCATAACCAATGAACACTTTAACCACTGGGCTACCCCACCACCCCTCATCACTTCCAGCTTCCCTCCCATAACAAGCTGACGTGTTCTGATATAATGTTCAGAGCTGTTTTAAACCCAACTCACTCACTCACTCATATGAAAAGTGATCTGAGGCTGTAACTTTAAGATGAAAGATTTATTTTGCGACTTGTACATATTACTTATTTCTCGCATGCAACACCACTTCTTCCTTGCATATGATGCATAATTTGTATATTTGATTCTATTTTGGGGTCAGTGGGTTGATATTTTTATTGATACTATGGATACTTTGGACATGTTTGTTTGTAGTTTGGTTAACACTGCTATCAGAAATATTCCAGCTATATGGAGGCGATCTGTAAATAATCGAGTCTGGACCAGACAATCCAGTGATCAACATCATGAGCATCGATCTAGGATGACGTGTGAATCAGATCAGCGAGCCTGACCTGTTAGTCGCCTCTTACACAGACATGACATAGCTGGAATATTGCTGATTACAGCATTAAACAACAAACAATCTGTGGACACCGACCTCTGATGGCTGAACATGTCATGAAGATGTACAGTAGCAGTTTCCTTACATGCTATTTTTTATTTATTTGATATTTAATGCCACGCTCAGCAACATTCCAGCTATATG